ATGAAGTTTGATGGATTTGTTTTTAAGGTCCCACCACAGGATTTCAGTCATGCTGAGGTCTGGACTTTAACTAGACCAGCACCTTGATTCGTTTCTTTTTCAGTCATTCTGTAGAATTTTTGCTGCAGTGCTTGGGATCATTTTCCTGTTTCATGAATCGGTTTAGGCAAGTTTTAGCTGTCAGGAAAATGGCCTCATATTTGATATGAGTTTAGTACACTTTGGTATACAGAGTACTTCTTGTGTTCAGTGTTTGTAGTGTTTGTGTTTGTCCTGATATCATGTGTTTGGTTTACTTCAAACATGTTGCTGTGCACTATGGACAAAGATCTACACTTGGGCTTCATCTGAAATTGTTCCAGAAGTCGTGTTGTTTGTTTAGATGTAGCTTTGAGAGCCTAAGCCTTGCTGCCATGTTTGTCTAAGAGAGAAGAGGCCTTCTCCTGTCAACTCTTCCAACCAAGCTATATGTGTTCAGTCTTCTTCTAATTGCTCTGTCGTGGACTTTACCATTTTAAATGGTAACCAGGGCCTGTAGACTCTGCAATTAAACTCTTGGATTTTTTCCAGTTACTCTGAGCACTGGACAATCTGAGCTTTTTGGTGAATTTATTGGGATGTCCAATGTTTTGGAAAACTAGCAGCTGTCCTGGATAGAATGAGCCTTATAACTGTTCACAGATTGGTGGACAGCAACAGTTGCTTGGCATGGTGTTAACACACACCTGAATGACCCAGACCAGCAAACCACCACAACGTCTGCTTTTATGGAGGTGCTCACGCTTACTGATGATCAATCAGCTGCATTTGATTAGCAGCACAAGGCTGCTACTTGCCCTCTTAATTCCTATGGAAAAAGTAAGGATGCATTTAGTTTTTCAGCACGTTGCAGAGTCCTGTGAAAACTACATCCACAGTAAGGAGACACTAGATCAGGGGTCCTCAATCCCAGTCCACGAGGGCCGGTGTCCCTGCAGGTTTTAGATCACACCTAAATCACATGATTAGTTCATTACCAGGCCTCTGGAGAACTTCAAGACATGTTGAGAAGTTAATTTATCCATTTAAATCAGCTGTGATGGATCAAGGACACATCTAAAACCTGCAGGGACACCGGCCCTCGTGGACTGGGATTGGGGACCCCTGCACTAGATGAACAAAACTGTCTGAGAATATTGAGAATATTTGGGTTTTGGCACATGTACTCAGTAGGATCTAATAAACAGATCATCGCAATGAAGTGCTACCCGCTGGAAACAAAGACCAAAGTATTTGGTTCGTCTGTGTGGGACTGATGAAGTGTTCATTATCACAAAAATGTCATTTCATCACATTGCATTCAGGTGGATGGGAGTTGGCACCAGCCTGCTGATATTTACAATCAGTGTTTCTGAATGAGGGAAGGGGGTGCATCCACTTGGAGAAAATTTGATTAAACAGGTGAGCACCAGTAATTGCCTTGGGTGAGGCCTTAGGGGAAATAATTTCACAACTAAACGGAATTAGTGAAGAAGGAAGTGCCATGGAAGGACACAAAAGAGAAAGCAACAGAGGGTGGTTTATGTTCAGAGAGGCTGATAAGAAGATGGAAAAACAAACAATATTGCAGTTTAACAGCATGTTTACATGTTAATAACCTGCTAAATTTCTGTTTTTATCACCAATTTTAGTTCTCCAAAATGCCTTTACTCTGAAGGCAATAATAAAAATGAAAAAATCATCATAAAGTTAAAAATAGAAAGTGATTCTGAACAGCTGGGCAATGCGAAATGAGGTGCAGAGAGAAACATAAAAAGTTACATATCAATATTCAGTTTTGGGATTCGTAGCTTCTGTTTTGCTCAGACTGCACCCACCTTACATGTATAATCCATACACTGCCTAATTTATTTATTACATTCATATAGCCTTAACCAGAGCCTTTAATTCATACTTCAGTGGGGAAACAAAGAGACCCTGCAGAGGCAGGATGACCAAAGTTCATTAGGCAAATAGCATGAGTCCAAATGGGGTAAACACAACAGGAGGAACAATGAGTAAAGTGTACACAGGGCACTTTGGGAGATAACGATTTAACAGACTGAAAAAACACTAAGGAGAGGAGCATAACAACACACAGGAGACACTAATGAGAGCAGGAAAATGAACACAGGAGGGAAGTACAAACACAGTGAGAAAGACTGAAGGAACAAAGACAAAAAATAGGAATTTAAAATTAGCCAGAAGGGCAGAAAAACAAGTCCCGTATGTGAGTGACTGCTGTCTGGGGTTGTTTTACGCTACGCCTTTAAGCACTTCTTTTACCAAAATACTCAGGTACTAATGAATGCATTGGGGGGCTATTTGGGGTTCAATATTTTGCCCAAGGCCTTTTTGTCATGCAAACTGGAAATCAAAGCACTGATGATTGAATTGGTAGATAACCTGCTCTATGTCCCAGGCCACAGGCTCCCCCTGAGGTTCTGGCTTCTTCAGGAGTATCCTGAACTACCATCAGGCAGAGTTATGCGTGTCTGTAACAACATTACCCTGGCCGTGCATGTCAAAATCACATGAATGCCACGATCCACTAGCTCTGGTTCAGCTAACAGAAAATAATTACAACTCCACTTCATGAATTTCTATTTCTCATCACTGTAAAGACACCTTTGATTTCCTCTGTGCTGATTTTTACCTGATCTGTCTTCTGTACGGGAATAAGCCGCAGACACGCCTAAAGAGCTCTCCAATTAAGAAGAGCTTTAAGGTGAGTCTGAGCAGCTGACAGCTGCTGGGAGCACAGCGTCTGAGACAAGAAATATGCTGTAAAAACGTTTCATCACTGCTGTCTTTAAGGCATAGACCAAAGAAAGTGAACACAAGGCATCCTTTAAATGTTAGAATTTAACCAACATAAACAGTTTCAGTCAAATAAAAAAAACTAGAAATTCTCATGAAATTATTCACAAATTACAGATGTAACCCACAACACTGCAGACACATTAGAGGGATCAAACGAGCAGCCAATAATCAGACTGAAATGAAATCTTAGCGTGTAAAGTTAATGAAGCTTTAGTGAGGCTCAATTTTTAAAAGCCATGTAAATGAACAGCCTGGGACTGCTGCAGTAGTCGAATCTGACTCTCACCTGCGTGTAATGAGAGCTGTGTTTGGACCAGCTCCTGTCCCTCCACGGGGACAGAGAACATGCAGCTGTGGGGTCATTCCCATTTAACAAATGTCGCGGCGCAGCGACCTGAGCAGCACCTGTAATTAACCGAGCGTGTTTGGTGGCTGAGTGGCCTCAGCGGCGAGGCGGGGGGATGACAGCAAGTGTATGATGACGGCCATCTTCATTTAGGGACAGTGTTAGCATTATTAAGATGCTGTTAAGATCAAGGAAGTGGGACAGAGGATGAGGGAACGTGGTGGGAAAATAGAAGAGAGAAAGAGAGGATGGGGACAAAACACATAACAGCAGTTAAAAATAAAAAGATACACACAGATATACAAAACACTGGGAGCAAAAAGATGTGATGGCAGATGATATGCTCAGTGCATCATGGGAAGCGCTCCAGCAGCCTAAGCCTATAGCAGCATGAGTAAGGGGATGTTTCCACAGCAGTGGTGCCTGATAGCTGAAGGCTCTGCCTCCCATTCGCAAACTCTAGAAGCACAAATAAACCTGCAGTCTAAGAGAAATGCTCTGTTAGGATAATATGGGATCTTTAAAATATGACAGAAACTGATTATCCAGGAGAAAGGTTTTAAATTCAATTCTGGACTTAACAGGATGCCAGTGAAGAGAAGCCAGTATGGGGGAAATGTGGTCGCTCTTTCTACTCTCTGTTCAGGAGCTTTTAGTTACTCTGAGATGGGGTGTTTCTGATTTTGGAAATATTGCACGATTTTAAATGTATTTTTGATAGGAAGCATTTTTCATGTCTGCGGCTCTTCGGGGAGAACCCGGACATCCAAGTAAATTGGGTCTTTCAAAGAAGTGGTAGTAAAGGTGGTAATCCGTGCCAAGCAGCACGAATCAGAATATTAGAGATGACTATTTCGCAAACTGCTGTGAGATTGTGTTGAACTTGATAACCTGTTGGTGATAATCTCATGTTAACTCTACATGCTGCAGCAGATATTGGATACTGAGGAGCAAAGTCATGGTTTTCCTGTTATTCTCTTCCCATGTGTGCTGTACTCTCCTCTTTCTGTCTTTATCTGTCTTTGGGTTACTTTATGTTTTACGTCATCGGTTTGTTTTCTCGTGTGACTTCAAAATCAATGCCCAGCTCACATTAACTTTAATCTGTGATTGTATGCTTTCAGATTTGCATCACTGAACTGTGGTTTTAAGCTATATTTTACACAGCATCCTAACTTTTTATTATTTTGTCTTTTCCTTTGATCTCGTCGGATTATTTGTTTGCCTTTCATGTGCTTTCTTTACTTGTTTCCTGGTTTCTGTTTTTACCTTTTGTAGCTGTTTTCTTGGACTTTGGTTCATCAGTTTATTTTATTCTAAATTCTGGACCACGTCTGTACCTTTGTGCAATCTCCAAACACAAACAGCTGTAAGTGGTTAAAATTTCTTCTGGAAACCTAAAATAATAATACTTAATTTTTAAAGCAGCTTTTTATGTTTTTGGCTTTAAGGAAAAAACATGCAAAGCTGTCTCTATTAAGAGAAGCAGAGACATATGTGCAATTATGCATCTATGGAACAGCACAGACAATCTTTCCAGCACTCCCTGTTGTTTAATCAACATTTTATAATATACTGAAACAGAATGGAATAGATGCAAGTCGTAGTTACTGCTTAACCCTGATCCAAATATATAACAGGCGCATTGGTTAGTCAAGCACAAACCCCGACCTGCAGACCTATTATCAGCATTGAAGGAAATGATCTTTGGAGAAGCTTTGGAAAAGTGAAAAATCCCACCGGGCAACAGAACCTTTCTCTTGTGACTGTGATTACACACCTGAGAGAGTTTTTAAAAAACAGAGAATACAAAGGGATCGAGAAAGCCCGAAAAGAAAAAGGGATTTGATTTCCAGCAGTATGCCTGAACATGTGGATCCACTGGGACCCCGGGTTATCCGGCACTGTTCAAGAGGTGCAGTGAGAGCTACAGAGACAGAGATTTCCACTTGAATGAGGGAGAGAGCACCTCATCTAGCTGTAGGGGAGGCAGTGGGTAGCAGCTCACTGTGAGAGCAGGGATAAAAGTCCAAGCCAGAGGGGGGGTGCTGGGGGTGGAGTGAGACCGCACCGCAACAAATCAGGATTCAGATTTGGGGGGAAAAAAACTGAGGATTGTAGTGGGTTAAGGTCGTAAACTAGGCTTCATGACTTAATTGGATAGAATAGCAAAATAGTAATGTAATAGTAATATAATGGTTCGCTATCACACACACACACTCCAAAGGATGTATGAGCAATTACAGGGTTCAGTTTCTTGCGCCAGACTGTGAGGAGCCAGGAATCAAACCACCAACCTTTGGATTAATAGGTAATCTGCTCTCCCCTGTGGCTCAGCAGCCATTGACTCATGAGTCATCTGAAACAGTGGAGGGGAGTTTCCACAGCAAGCTCCTCCTGTGTGTGTCTGGGTTTTGAATGCTAGTTACTCAGAATCTGATGGATTCATAAAACTTAAAGTTTAAAGCCCAGATTCAGGGTTCCTGCGTGGTCTGCAGGTTCTTCCCAGACTATTAAAAAAAAGGTGCTGCTGTTGGTTCCTTCAGCTTCTCCTCTGCTGCAGAGTCCATGAGAGTCATATATCTGCTTAAAAAGGCAATATTTGCTAAGCAGATGATGAATTGCTTTTGAACGAAATGCCACAGGGAGTTTGCCACACTGAGGAGCCAGTGTGACCAGCTAACTTACTTCCACCTATAAACACTTCTGCAGTAGACCCTCAAGAATAAAGTGCACAGTAAAAGTTTTACAGGTAGCATAGCTCCAGAATGCAAAACGTAACACAACAGCAGCAATTAGACTTTCAAAGCGATAAGTATTTTTACTCTTTAGTAAATATGTATATGAGGACGAATCAGTCAGGGGTGAACGGTTCTGAATGTAAGCAAAGAGTGTTTCGAAATCATATGATGCTTTACAAAATGTATCAGAAGAGAGAGATTTTCTGTAAAAATGACATGGGAGCTTGAACAAAATAGAGATTCTGACATATCTTTTTCAATATGTTACATCTAGTGGAGGTTTGTCAAACTTTGCACTGCCTATTTTTGCCCCAAATTTTGGTTGAGTGTCTTAAGACAGCTTTTTGCAGCTTTACTGAAATTTTGTTCATCAGTACAGGCTTAGAAGCTCGTGGAGGGATGGAACACGGTGGCCTTAATTGCAGCTTTGTAGCCATGTAATTTGTTGGTTTCATTTGCTAGTCAACCCATTATTTACTCTCTTTTAAATTGCAAGGGCAGAGGAAGCTGTGTTTCATAATTACATGACGGAACCCATAACCACCCAGTGATGCCCGTAACAACAGTGCAATAATGAGAGAGTGCGGGGCTTACCAAGATCGAGATGAATGCTGGGAACGAAGGAGTTGAGAAAGAACATGAAGATCACAACGCCAAGGACGGACACACACTTCACCAGCAGAACTTTGTCAGTAATTCTGTGCTGCGTAGGAGGAAAATGTATTTTTTGTGAATGGTGGAAAAGCTGATGTTATCACAAGAATGACAGGATTTGTCTTAAACGAACTTTCAAAGACTAGACCTACTTCATTACTGAGATTACATCAATGCACCAGTCACAGTGATTGAGGAAAATGTGTGAGGTGAAGAATCAAAGCCTACCTTCTTCTGCAGTTCTTGGATGTTTTGCTCCCAGTTCTTATCCTCCTGAGAAATTTGTCTGTCAGACACAACAACATTTAAATCTCACATTAGGCAAATGCACAGTGCCAAAAAACAAACAAACAAAAAATGGAAAAAGTATCATCTCATAGAAACAGGGTGCTTATTTTTAGCAGTTTATAACCATATGCTGAGCGTTGTGTAGTGTGAAGGATTTATTTCTGCATTTCCTGCCCTTCAAAATTTGTATTTATTTTCTGTAATTGCTATGATGGTCCGGAAAGCAGGCACAGAAAAATAGGAACAGGAAAAAAACAAACTATTTCTGGACTGAACTGAACATGTCATGCTTGGTGCCATGCTTGTGTTTTAAATAATTAGAGGGGACCTATTATGCTCTTCTCCAGCTCCATATTTCTAATGTTGGGCTGCTAGAGTTTACAGCTTTGTGTGATTCAGAATTAGGAATAATCCTCATTTGTTTGAGCTTGGATTTGGAGCAGCACCTAGTTCATCCAGTGTCTGAAAAAGATGTTTAAGCTCCTCCTTCCTTTAGCTAACTTTCTTCCGATATATTGATATTGCACAGATCCAGGAGCAGTCTGAAGTCTGAGCTTCAGGGTCATGGGTCTAACATACATGCACTGACGTTAGGGAGACACACTTCTAGATTTATACTTAATTTCAGAAGTAAAAACAAATGCCGTATTTTTCGGACCATAAGATGCACCGGATTATAAGGCACATTAAGCGAAACAAAACAGTCAGATAAGTCAAACTTTACTCAATTCATTATACTAATATAGCTGTGTCGCTAGCGATCACGTAGCACATCATTATATACCAGCTAGCCCAGCTTCAGTAACGCTACAAACGTCACTGCTGTTTAGTTTTCTATCTTCATTCATGTTGGAAGTGATAGCAGAGCTGTACATTTTAATTTTTTCAGGAATCTCTCAGTCAGAACATGCAATATCATGTTTAGGTGGAAACTAGCGTGCTAACTTCCTGCTAACTTCTAACTCAGTTAAATTTAATAAATTCTGTTTTCATGGATGCCTGGATGTTAAACTTAATTGTTACACCTGGCAAAGTAGCAACGCTGATTAAAGATGAAAGAATTTAGACAGTTTTTAACTCTCAGTGATGCCGTAGTGTTCGTTTGACTTGGGGCCTGAAGCGGATGGAGTTTGGACTCAGATTACTCCACGAGGCTCCTGAGTACAGTAGCCATAACGCTCCGACAATCCATCAAGCGGTGTGGCTTCGTAGCTTACCAAAGTCAGACTAAAACATTTTTGACAGATTTCTGAGCGGCGTGTACTACATAAAATCCATTCGAGGTCTGTAAGCACAACCAGAATTCATACATAAGGTGCACCGGAATATAAGGCCCATTGTCAATTTTTGAGAAAATTTAAGGATTTTAAGTGTGCCTTATAGTGCAGAAAATACTGTAACAGTGGAAGTGGAACGTGCAGTTACAGTGTTACTATTGCATGCAAGAGTTTTATATGATTGCTACTTTGTAACCGACCACACATCGCGGTGCTATCGTGGCTATGTCACATTTCTAGCCTTTAATGAGCCTTTTCCTTTTTCCTTTGCTACTACAGCGGCCCCTTGTGGTCAAAGTCAGTCTTATTCGTCCGTTTTCTTGGTGGTCTCGATGTGTACACCAGCCAGGTTGCGTCAGTGACGTGTGTCATCATCCCAGGTCTTTTGTTTAGTTTTTATTGAGTTCTATCGAGTTCTTCTTGTGTTCTGTCACCTGTTATTATACAGTGGAACCCCGACTTACGAAATTCATTTGTTCACAAAGTATTTGCAGTGTGTGCTTTCAGTAATCACACCAGCCATGAATTCTCTTGTTAAATCATGTATTATTGATTAGTACTGATAACTGCATCTAGTGAAAAGATCTGTACGAAGCAATATACAGCAGGTTGGCTTTTGAAAAACGACATTAACAGTACAGACAATGTGATTCTTAATGTTCTGTGTTCTTGTGCTTTCTTTAACCTTTGGAAGGTCTTCATCATATTTCGCAGCAGACTCTCCAGGTTGAGGACTTTTTGCATTAAAAGACATTTCACAGCTGTCTCCTCTCGGCTGGCGGGGTTTATGCGCTGAGCCGTTTGCCTCCAAACCAGGATCTCATGCTTGAGTTCTGCAGGGCAAAGAGAGAACGGCACCTGTTCAGTGCATGTACGACACACAGACTTCAAAGTTACAGTGATGAAGCTCAGCAGCAAAATGCAGTACGCTTATAACGGATATTTGTCTGGTAATATCTTCTACAGCTGAGAGAACATGGTGATGTTTTCAGTCAATATGCTCAATATGTGAGCCCCCACAGAGGGCCTAATGCAGCCTGGCGATGGGTGCATTGACCAACCCAGGAACCGCCAGTGCTCAAACACAGATACAGCCTGAGGATATGGGACCCTTATGTAGATATCAGTAGGTGCCATCCTTTTTCAGGAAGGTTGCTAGGTGACCATAATAGGATCTAAGCAGTGCAGGGGGAAAGAGGAAAAAAAACCATTTCCTGTTAGCAAATCTGCACAATTACCAGCCGTGGTGGGGGGTTTGAGCTGATCCAGCCACATGCACTCTTAGCAAGACCAGGCTGGCAGGAGAAGAAGAAGAAACTCCACGGGGTCAGATTTAGGCCAGCATCGAACGGTCACCGTGGTGATGGGTAAAAGCTTGCTTTAGTTTGCCCGCTGCTCAGTGTGACAGAACAGCTCCGAACAGTCGGTGTTGCTCACAGCTTAAATGTGAGGATTGTGGTGACCACTGAGCAGCCTCATGGTCTCTGCTTCAATCATCCCATGCTGGGGTCATCTCAGAGGGGGGAAGTCTGATAGTGTGGGTAAACAATGATAGGAGGCGACTGTGTTTCCGGAAGAATTCTTAACAGTTTCAAACAAATATATTTTTTCTTTTATTGTTGTTGTTGTGTTTTGTTTTGTATGCTTATTATCTATCTCCCCAGAGTCTTACAAGCCAGATCTACAGTAAGACAGAATGATGGAGGACAGTCATGCTCCAAACCACCACAGTCTGTCATCCTTTCTCTCTCTCTGAACATTGTTCCAAGTCTTCAGGGATGGCCAAATCATTTTCTTTCCTGTTGCTGGATAATTAAGAAGATACATAAAAGGGCTGCGGTACACCAGATTAGATGAATAGTTTTTTAATAGAAAAGAAAGGAGTCCCGTGTCGCTATCAGGCTGCTCTCTGGATGAGTGAGTCTGTTCACTGCCAACTAGTCAGAGCAACTGAACATCAGAGTAAAGGGGTTTTCTCACATGAGCCATGTGGTGTCGGACACACTGTGAGTCACCAGACCCTCAAGGGATGTTAGCTGGTGAAAAAGGAGATAAAGGCATTCTACCCCAGTAAATGATGTCTGAGTTAGGTTATCATCACAAATACTTTTGAATTTTAAAGGTCAAAAAGTTAGTTTTATCAAATTAATTGTAAACTTTGTTCACCAAGAGGCCCAAACTTTGGCATCGAGGCTCTGAGCTCATGTTTCCACTGCTGAATCCCGTGCAGGTGTGTTTTTAGAGTTTCTTTAATCTGCCTACATTTGAAGAGCATCTGCAAGCCACTTTGCAACGCATCTTCACCCCACTTCATGTCAAACCTTTATACTGCTGCACTCCCCACCTTCATGCTCACGCATACACATGGAAGGGTCCCACAGCCCTATCACCAAATATACCGTTATGTGAAAAAGTTTTTCACAGGTTTCACAGTAGCTTGTAGATTCAGCTTTAGTTTTCTTTTTGTTAACTTTAATACTTAGCATGCTAACGCTTGGGGTTTTTCCAGTTTCTCTGAGCATTGCACGGTCTGATCTTGGGGCCGTCCACTCCTCGGAAGATTTTGGAATCATGTTAACAATCCTGAACACTCAAGAGCAAAAAACTGCACAATTTTTGTTTTTACAGAGGTGTTCACATTGTTGATGATCAGTTAATCAAGTGCATTTGATGAGCAGCACCTGACTTACCCTCTTATTCCCTATTCAAAGAGTAAGGCTTTACCTGCAGAGAGTCGGGAAAACTTTCTTTTTCACATATAAATGACTGCAGAGGAAAATGAGCATCTTTCAACTGTAGTGGTCCCAATTGAGGTAAAAACGTTGAAGACAGAGGTGGTGGATGGTGGTGGAAGGCAGAGATGGAGGGCAGCAGCACTGCCACTGAGGCTTTTATATATGATGTGAAGATATTGAAGAATGTTACACCTGCATGATGGGCAGCTTGGTTTGACTGTCGAACTGGATCACAGGCTTTGTTCCAATTATAAACTTTTTTTTTTAAAACCTTGACTGATGTGGAAATCTGTATCACCCGGCTCTGAAGACTACTCTTCAGCAAGAAGTATGAATATTTTACAATTCCACTCCCTTCTCAATAAGGCGAACACAGTACTTTTTTTGGTTATTTTGTATGTTTTTGTTTTTTGTTTTTAGTATAAAAAGGAACAGGGAGTTCTGTCCTGTGTTCCTAAATAACAGACCTCCAGGAGAGGCTCCATTGAGCATGACCTTTTCAGACCTCTCCAAATTAAGTAACCTACTTTAAATAATAAAATTTAAAAAAAATCCCGCACACACACAACCATGAACTATTACATCACGCACACAGAATCTTTTTCCAGCAATATATGATCCAGAAATGTAATATCGGAGATGGCAGAGATAACTAACAGTGTGAGTGGAACAGTGTGGAAATTGAAAAAGTGAAAACTGAAGGCAGCACGCATCTCAAGTGGAAATTAGAGGGATGAGGCTGTAATGCCGAGTTAATTATGTTTGTGTGAGGCCAGTGCATTGCCTGAGAAGGTTTATTGGGAAGCTATTGTGTGCAAAGATGTTATTGGGAGTTAATACTCTTCTTAATAATACTCAAAAACCATCACAAATGATTTCAGGTTGTGCTGTATCCAGCAGGTAACTATATTTTTTATAACTCGAGTCCACTCAGCTTAATAACAACCTAATGATCCATCTAAAAAAATATTTTTCATGTAGAAAAACATAAATTAACCCAAAAAAACTACTTTTTAAACTGAATAAATGTTATACTCGGACATGTGACATCACCATTTTGATTGTTTGAAACCATGTTTGACCATAATCAGTGGATCTGACTGAGAAACAGAGGGATGCTGGTAGAGTAGCATCTTGTCAGTCAAAGCTCCGCCCTAAGACACCACAAATTTTATCATCTTTTTTTACTCTACTGCAAACATTAGAACATTAGAGCCAGGATTCATGAAATTTAACTTTCTTACAGTGTTTAAAAAATTACAAAATTACATGTAATTATATTAGTTAGAATTTTTTGAGTATAGGTGTCACCCTCAGCAGTCTACAGGATTAGAGTATCAGTCTATGAACAAAGCAGTGCTACTTACCAACTATTTCAATGGACTCTTTGTTGTAAAGTTTTTTGTTCCAGTAGAGCATCCGCAGGAAAGGAAATGAGGTAAAAAGGACGAGGCATATTCCGAGGAACATGTAGCCTGTGAAACTGGCAAAATCAATCCCCTGTAGGAAACATAATGAAAATGTGTTAGACATTTGCCGTCTGGTCGAATTTCACCCAAACGTGACAAACTGAGCCTGGGCTTAGGCAAAAAATGTGTGCATGCAGCGATGGACTTTTATGGAGAGACACAGTGTGAAAAAAGTCGTGTGGTGTTCTGAGGAAAGAAAACTCAGAGTTCAGGAAAGCAGCTACCTAAAGTGTCCTCCCACACAAGTGCATTATAATGATGTCAGACTATGTTCCTTACTATATAAAGGGCCTTGAGAGCACTGAACTCTTGAGGATAGCAGGAGGTGCATTCACACTCCAAACTGTAAGTATGAGCCGCACAGCGTACCTGGAATTTTTGATTTAAGAGCGAAATGACACAGAATTTGATTATTGCACACAAATCGGTGCGATCTTTCATGTTCTGTCTACACTCTCCTTTGTAATTCCTGCTGCTCTATTTTCCTCGTCGCTTCAGTTTCCCACGCTGTCAGATTCACTTCACTCATCAGCCTCTGTTCCCCGATCAACCCTCCTCCTTCCCGTCTCCACCTCACTCACTGCATTTCACTCTTTATCTCCATCAGCCATCTGCTCCACCACCTCTAGCCACTATCTCCTGCCTTCATTTGGGATTCTGCTCACTGATGGTCCTCTCATGTGACTCCCAAAAAATACATTTTTGGGATAAAATTTTCCTCTTTTCTTCCAAATGGTCTCTCCCTGTTGTAAGGAAACTTAAAGTGACAGAAAAACAACAAAATATAAATAAACACTTGGGTGTTTCTCATTGAGCAACATTTAAAGACACTGCAAGTAGCTCACGCTGCCTTTATTTCACATGCTTTCACAGTATAAAGAACAAGTTTCAGATATTCAGTGATAAAACTGGTTAATAGTAAAAGGGTGATGCAACTAAACATGAGTGGAAGTGTCTGAATTATTAAACAGCAGATTTAATCCACATATTCCCTTTGGATCACAGAGTTAATTTTGTCACTTGTAGCACATCCCGGCTACATCCTGGTTTATGCGCACCCCCATGGAGACCTGCTCTCCATCTGCAGTGACCTGCAGGGCAGCCTGGTGGACTGAGAACAGCTGCTTGCATGAACCTGCTGTTTATGAAAAAAATTCACAATTCCTGTTAAAATCTCGGTTTCAGCGATGAAACTAAAAGCTGAAGAATAATAAAATGTTGTGTGCCCGCAGCCTAATGAATACAATATGTGCTTGCGACGGTCACAAGACCAAAAAGAGAGAAACTTAAACTTGTTGATGTGATTGTATTTCTGTTTGCAGCCATAAACTGCGACCCCAGTATGTCCATATTTCAGAGCCAATGTCAACGATTCTGGTTGGAGGGGATCCAATTGACAAGGAAAGTCCCTCTGTGAAATGATACCAGAGTTTTCATATGCACAATGGTACCTTGGATTGTAACAAGCTAAAGAGACGGACACTGTGATGAGGAGCAGAACCTAAACTCATACACACTTTACGGACGTGCCTTTCTTTCCATCTCCAGATCCCTAAAATCCCTTCGCCACATTCAAGCCAGCAGGCAAACTAACTAACGGGTAAGCAGACCGCGCACGCACAAACAAGCTGTGCTTATCGCGGGCCAGACATGACTGAACGAGTGTGCCGTGGCTGTAACCCTGCAGTTCTGTCACCTGGGAAATGGAGCCAAGACAAACTGGACAATGGGCTGTGGAAACCTGGCGCTACAGGAGCTACAGTAACCCGGAGACCACATACTGCTCGCGTCGGCAAAGGCCAAAATGTCACATGCACTGAACAGATGTCACATCAAGCAGTTGTGAAAATGTCATGTCTTGTAGAGATTTAGCATCATGCTCCTCTGAGTATACAAAGAGTGAAGGTTATGAGAGGAACATGCAAGTCAATGCCCTTTTCAGACAGCGACACTCTGCTCAGTAAAATGTTGTCACTGCTGTTTCAGCTTTGTCCAAACTTGTGCAACAGATGACAACTTGTGTCTAAGTGGGTTTCCAAAAGGCTCAGGTAATGAATAATGGCTGGATTTTAGTTAAGCCAGAACATGGATCATCATAGAATACAGATCAACTTGACAAGGCAGTACTGGTGTAGTACTGGGACTGCAGACTGTGGCAGCTTTTCACTGGGAGTGACCAGGATGGAAAAGATCATACATCAGAGGGACAGCTGAACCTGAAAGTTATTGGATGTTTCTAAAAGTTA